ACAGGCGCCCGCCACAACGCCCGGCCATTTTTTGGTTGCAGCCATCATTGTTGTTTGGCCGGCCTGGGCTGGGGATTTGAACCCGCCACCTTAGGTGTATGTGGCTGGCGCCTTAGCTGCTTGAGCCACAGGCGCCGAGCCACAACTGAAAATATTTGGCAACCCTGCCTTGAGCCAGTCTATAGGTACCATTTGTTCCATAGCATGTGCTCACTTTGTGTCTCTATGTCACATTTGGTAATTCTGACAATATTTCAAATGTTCATTAGTATATCTGTTAGGGTGATCTGTGAACAGTGATCTTTGATGTTACTATGGTAATTGTTTTGGGCTATCATGAACTATACATGTAAGATGACGAACTTCATTAATGTTGTGTGTGTCTGACTGCTCTCCTGACATGTTGTTCCCTGGTCCTCTCCCTCTCCTTGGGCCTCTGTATTTCCTGAGATATAGCAGTATTAAAATTAGGCCAGTGAGTAGCCCTGCAATGGCCTCTTAGTGTTCAAGTGAAAGGAAGAGCCACAGATGTCTCACTTGAAATCAAAAACTAGAAATGATTGGCTTGGCGCCTGTGGCTTAAGTGGCTAAGGCACCAGCCACGTACACCTAAGGTGGTGGGTTTGAATCCAGCCTGGGCCCGCCAAACAACAATGATGGCTGCAACCAAAAAAATAGCCGGGCATTGTGGCGGGCGCCTATGGTCCCAGCTACTTGGGAGGATGAGGCAGGAGACTCGCTTAAGCCCAGAAGTTGGAGGTTTCTGTGAGCTGTGATGCCATAGCACTCTACCCAGGGGGACAGATTGAGGCTCTGTCTCAAAAAAAAAAACTAGAGATGATTAAGCTCAGTGATGAAGGCATGTCCAAAGCCAAGATAGGCCAAAAGTTAGGCCTCTCGCAACAACTGATTTAGCCAAGTTGTGAAGACAAAGGAGAAGTTCTTTTTTTCTTTTTTTTTTTTGAAACAGAGTCTTACTTTGTCACCCTCAGTAGAGTGCTGTGGCGTCATGGCTCACAGCAACCTCAAACTTGGGCTCAAGTGATTCTCTTGCCTCAGTCTCCTGAGTAGCTGGGACTATAGGTGCCTGCCACAATGCCC